CTAGGTAATGTGGATTTGATATGTTTACCAAGCCCAAGACATACGCTTGAATGTGGCGCTAGCTAAGTCCAAAATGCATGGACCTAGCAATTAGTCATGTTCAAAATAATATGGGTTTGACATATTTGCTATACCCAAGTAAACGTAAGATGCCTGGACTTGACGGGTAGCTAAATCCAAACTAGCATGAGTTTGACATGATTACGAGATTTAAGTTAACGTCGGTTAGACATGTTTACCAAACCCAAGAGCATAGCTTACCAGACCCACAAACGCCTGGCCTAGATCTTTTTTTTAATATGTATATTTTTTTAATTATTTAGTTTGGAAAAAAAATAATGCATTATTTTTGTATATTTTTTTCAAATGAATTTTTGGATTGTGTTTAGGTGGATATAATTCATCCGTGGTTTTTTCAAATAAAATTTTAATTTATATTCTTAATTTGGCTTGAAAGTTAATTCATGTACTTTTTAATATTGTCAACTCTTTATTCCATGTTTAAAATATATTTCTTCTTCTTCTTTTAATTATTTTATAATTAAAAACAGCACGTATTTTTAAAAATAGCTTACAATTATCATGGCAATCTATCTCCTCATTATCTATTTTAAGTTAAAAAATATCATTTTACAAAGTAAGTAGAATTTTATTTAAATTTTAATCGAGTGAGTAGACCGTGAGATGACCCACTGAGTTAGCTGTGATTTGTCATGAAACCAAGCCTAACTAATGTCCTAGATAGATTGGTAATTACAAAAGGTAACCGGTCCAAATTTTTCAATAAGAAATCAAATTAATAATTTCTTGAATAGAGCGGCATTCAATCTGAATTGAAAATATTTTTTTATATTAAACTTCATTTATTAAAAAACAAAAAATGACATATTAAAAAAAAAAATCTTTGGAAGCTGTAAAAAGGTTTTCTCATGAATATTTTAGACTTCAGTAAATTAGTCGCCAAATTAAAAATATAAATGGCAATAATAGGCCGTAAAAGAAAAACAAAGCCCAACGGCAATAGGCCGTAAAAGAAAAACAAAGCCCAAATAAGTCCGAAAAAGCCCATCATTGCTGGCATGATTTCGTAGGACAAACATTCAAGAAAATACGTATATTCATACATTCATACATACGGGTACAACTATTGAATGGCCAAAATTCGTACAAAGGAAAAGAATATTCTAGATATATTATAAAAACGAAAAAAAAAAACCTCAAATCTCTCGATCCTCTCTTTCGATTCCCAAATTCCCCTCTGATTTTCCGTTTCTCTTTTCTTTTTGTTTCCCCCCTGAAATTCCTCTTCGATCTCTCTTACTTCGAGCTCGATTTTACGTAGAAACAAGATCACACTCGATTTTATTTTTCTTAAAAAATTGATTAATTAATTCTAGGGTTAGGGTTTTTGATCGATTTTGCTCTAAAATAATATGGGAGGTGCTGGCGATTTGAGCGAGTCAAAAGTGAGTAATGAACAGGGGCAAGGGCAGGTAGAGGAGGGAGGTGTGGTGATTAACGTTCGGTGCTCTAATGGTACGAAATTTACTGTGAGGACGAGCTTGGAATCAACGGTTGGGGTTTTCAAATCTGTTCTGGCTCGAAATTGTGATGTTCCAGCTGATCAACAGAGGTTGATTTATAAAGGTCGGATTTTGAAGGATGACCAGACCCTTCTGAGTTATGGTGAGTTCTTTGCTTTCTTGTAATTGTCGTTTTCTTTCGAGTTTTTTTTTTTTTGGGAAATGGGTTTTTAGCAATCTTTGGGTCTGATGATGAAAGATAAAAACTTTGGAAAAAAAGTAGGATTTTTCGTTGACTTAAAGAGGGAAAGAGGAAAGAAAAATGCTGCAGCTTTTTGGTCTGTTTAATGGTTAGATGATGGTAAGAGCCTTGATTAGAAAAGGAAAGATCTGGGTTTTTTTATTTTTTAATCTTCTGATTGATTTTTTTTCATTATGAATCGAAAAAGTATGCAGTTATTTCATGTAGGATAAAGTTTGGAACTTCTTTAGCCCTTTTGTTTACATGTCTTGTTCGTTCTTAACTTTTTTTCTGAAGGTTTGCAAGCTGATCACACCGTTCATATGGTTCGTGGTTTTGCCCCTGCTTCGTCCACTCCTGCTCCTGCTGCCACCGCGACCGCCACCGCTGCTGCTGGTGGAAATCCTGACACTACAACAAGGGTTACACAGGGTGTTGGTTCTAATGAAGGCGGGGCTTTTGGACTTGGAGGTGCTGGTTTGGGGGCATCTTTGTTCCCTGGACTTGGGTCACTAGGTGGTGGGGGTGCATTTGGTTCATTTGGAGCTGGTTTTTCTGAATTGGAACAAGTGCAGCAACGGCTAACCCAGAATCCCAACATGATGAGGGAAATAATGAATACACCTGCTATGCAGAGTCTGATGAATAACCCCGAGTTGATACGGTCCTTGATGATGAGTAATCCTCAGATGCGGGAGATTATGGACCGGAATCCTGAGCTTGCACACGTGCTTAATGATCCCAGCATTCTTCGACAGACATTAGAAGCTGCTAGAAATCCTGAGCTCATGCGCGAGATGATGAGACACACTGACAGGGCTATGAGTAATATTGAATCAACTCCTGAAGGATTTAACATGCTCCGGAGAATGTATGAAAATGTTCAAGAACCATTTTTAAATGCTACAACAATGGGTGGAAATGCTGGCAGTGATTTGGGTTCAAATCCATTTGCAGCCCTCCTGGGTAACCAAGGTGGGACTCAAGTCAGGGATGCATCAAACAACCCTTCAACCACTGGTTCTGAAGCAACTGGAGGGCTCACTGCTCCTAATACAAACCCACTGCCCAACCCTTGGAACAATGCTGCTGGTGAGCTTCACACCTTTTTGCTTCTGGCAAATCATTTATGTATCTATTCTTGTTCAAACCCATACTCTGAGGTCTGATTTAGGAAGTTCTAACGGAAAAGGACGGTAACCTTTAAGACGCCTATGAAACTTGATCTTTGCTTTGGGAACATAGTTCATGGTCCCGAGCAATTCTTGTTTGTGCACATTTATTTAGCTTTTCTTGATTTTCATTTTACTGGAAGAAGCTTTTTAGTATTGTTGCTGTTTTTAAATGATAACTAAAATATTCTTGATGTTTAAATGGTGAAATAGGAGGTACCCAGACAAATAGTACTACGAGACCAAATCCTGCTGGGAATGTGAGGGCCTCAGGTCTTGGCGATTTGGGTCTGGGAGGGCTTGGTCTCCCAGGAATGGAAAGCTTGTTTAATGGCATGCCTGATTCTAATCAAATGAATCAGTTGTTGCAAAATCCAGCTGTATCACAGATGATGCAAACTGTACTCTCCAATCCTGAATACATGAACCAGGTACTATTGTTGTTGAAAGTGATTTTAGCTTCCACAATGATAATTGGCTGGGTTCAGTTTTGACATTTTTCTCTTGAATTTTAGATGCTCAACTTCAATCCTCAACTACGAAGCATGGTTGATTCAAATCCTCAGTTGAGAGAAATGATGCAAAACCCAGAGCTTCTTCGCCAACTAACTTCTCCTGAAACAATGCAGGTATGTCCCTTTGAGCTATCCACATGAATGGACTTCCAACCACCCCCTCTCATCTGCATACACTCACACACGCAAACCTTTTTCATTTTTTCCCTACAAATGCTATAGGATGGTTTGTGCATTAGGATATGCTTGACCCTTTGTTACTCTTTTTTCAACAGCAAATGCTTACTTTACAACAGTCACTTCTTCCACAGCTCCGACAGCAATCAACCGCGTAAGTGAGGACATTTGTTTTGGGTTTTTTACCATGGCTGAAATCTTAGTTGCCTAACAACTGTACACTAGTCTTGAGATCATTAAAGGACTTATAGTTCATGCTCCCATTGCTTGAAAAAATCGTATCTTTGTTCGGTCAATACTTATCCTTTATTTGCTCACTTGCAGGGAAGCGGCACAGCCTGGCGCCCCTACAGGTACCCAAATAAATAAGAAATCTAGTCTGCATTTTATAATTTTCTTGAGCATTTCATGGGTGGTTTTATGATCTTTTTTAGACTCGTCTCTTTCCCTTTAAAAATTATACTAAAGTTTCTTAAATTAACAGGAACACCCAATAATACCGGGCTGGAGATGTTGATGAACATGTTTGGTGGTCTTGGAGCAGGCAGCTTATCTGCACCTAACCAACCTGATGGTTATTTTCATTTGTCCTTTCTCTCTCTATTTTATGTAATATTACTCCATGTCAGTTTCTCACCATTACTGAAAATTTTGTTTCCTTTCTAGTGCCCCCGGAAGAACTTTATGCAACTCAACTATCACAGCTACAAGAAATGGGTTTCTTTGACACCCAAGAGAATATCAGGGCACTGCGTGCCACAGCTGGAAATGTACACGCTGCAGTAGAGCGTCTTTTGGGGAATCTTGGCCAATGAGCTGTTCTGGAAAGCAAAACCTTGGAAAGGGGGAAGGGAGGATCTTGCTGAGCAAGGCGTTCGCTATGTTCATGTTAAGTTCTCCGAAAACCTACAGCGGAATTGCCATTGTGAGGAAACGAGTAGAAATTAAAAAAAGAAAATGTACAAATTAGTATTTTTCGCATGGCCACTGCATTTGATTCTCCTCTTCTCATCCCTCCTCTTCAGTTTCTTGGAAACCTATTTCTTTTTCTATGTAGAAATTATTATTAATGATCAAACAGTGGATTTATTTTACAGCTCGATTTACTTTGTTGCTCTGCGATATTATTTAGCTGGTCTTTAAGCGTACCATTGTTGGATTAAACAGTGAGATAACGTTTAAGCTTTTATTGATGTTGACTGTTTCCCTTGTCAGTCAGGTTCAGCTGGATCGGTCATTACAAGATCATTGGTCAAGCTAAATACCTCATTAAGGTTTTGTGTTGGCAATGCGCTGTGATATGCAGTATCTACTGGATTAGGAGGATCATCCCTTTCCGGGCATCCTTATATCTTTACCTGCAATGGTATGGGCTAGTTTGGAGTTGCAAACAGTTGTGATTTTGGCATTCCTTCTAAGAGTCGACCACAAAGCTCACAAGCAAAACATTACTGGCCAGCCATGGGAAAGTCTAAGTATCTTTATTCATCCAATAGTGAGTATTATCAAATATAATTACAATGGAAGTGGGGCAATCTGGGGTATCCTACAGTGGAGTCTCCATCTCAGTAAGCGTAGGCTCTATGCAAGTAAGGCTACAATGGAATTGGTGAACAATTACTATGCATGCATGCACTTCTTTGGTGCTGGTTTTGCTGTCGTATTCCTAATTTAAGAGGAACTTCAGTTACCCCAAACACATCAAGAGCTGTGACATAAAAAACTAGTTCCTAAAATTTGAGTCTAATAAAAAACCAACACTGCACCATCTCATTAGCATTATTCTAAATTCCTCTATTGTTAGCGCAAATTCTAGACAATTCCATATAAATCAACAAATTAATCAATAAAAAAAATAAACTTTTTAGTTGTTCGTTAAGTGTGTTTTGAAGTACGGTTGTGTCGTGCTTTAGATAAATTTTAATTTTTATATTTTAAATTATTATTTTAATATTTTTACATTTAATGTTAAAAATAAATTTTTAAAAATAAAAAAATATTATTTTAATATATTTTTAAACAAAAATTATTTTAAAATACAATTTTTTATCTTCCCTTCAAACACCCTATAAAATGCGCTTAAGAGGAGGCTACAAGTCCAAATTAAACAAATAAGAAGTAATTTTTGTGGCACTTCTTTGAAAAAGAAGCTCAGAAGTTGGGACCCATCATAAATAGCTAGACCTACCGAGGCCTAAACAAAATAATTATAAAATAGAGGACTAATAAATCTCTTAACTTTTTTTTTTAGAGCCACAGCTTCTTTTGCTTTTCAAAACCCTCCCCTCTCTTTTTCTCACTCTTGCCTTTCTGTCTCTGATTTTAATGAGAGACCCTTTATTCTCTCTAGTCTAATATTCTTATTTTCTCATTTAATTCTTCCCTTTAAGTTTTTTCTTGGAGATTAACGATGAAAAATTGTCCAAAATGGATCAATTTTTAACTGCTTGTAGGCTAGTTTTTTTTTTTTAATTATTTGAATTTTGATTTGATAGGACTTGTTTTTCAGGTAATAAACAAAACCATGCTTCAAAATTGCTGACTTACCGTTGTGAATGATGTATTTCTACTCTGGGTTTCTGGTTTTTAGGCCACTTCTGCTTATTTTGTCTTCAATGCTACTCAATGATTAAGGTTTTGTGTAAGAAGAAACGGAATTATCAAGTTTATGTTGTTATCACTTCTTTTGGTTTGTTTGTTCGCTTTGTTGTTGCTCTAATTTTAATTTATTTGAGTTCGGCTTTTGCTGGTTATGCTTAATAAATGCCTTAATTGTGTTTTTTGGTTTAGTTGAAATTTTAAGATGGAATTTGTTAGGATTTACTTGTGAATCTAATGAAAAAGTAAAAATGCGGCCTTATGGCTTTGTTGATAGTGAGTATGGTGGATGAGTGTTCGGAAAATGGTCATCCCATGAAATTAAGCTCTGCAGCCAGCCTATGCCTTTCAGGCAGTTGATTGCCCTTCTAGCTGTAATAACTAAGAAAGAAAAAGAAATTGTATTTGTTGGATCTGCTTCTCTTGGGTTCAATATTCGTTGACTTAGTGTCAAGAAATCTGAAACTTCCATCTTTTATTTCACTTACATGGGTGATTATACTAAACACAATGATTTCTTCTTTTATTAGCTGGGCTTGTATTGTTTTCGTAGATTTCCAAGTTCCTCTGGATTTCTCATATATGTCTTTACTCCAGATGGTTCAACAAACGATAGATTCAAAATCTGGTGAGCATGCGCTTGGCAATGCTGACAATAACTTGTCCACACGCGATAAGCACTTTCCACTTGTTGTAAAGAAGACAGCATTAAGAGATGTGCAGAATGAAAATAGAATTCCCAAATCTGTTGGAAATTCTCCATTATCGAAGGATGGAGGAAAGACTATGAATGGCATTAAGGTTTCTGGAGCCAAGAGACCATCATCTGAGGACCTGATGTACCGTCCAGTTCCATGCTATGAACCTTCTACTATTGGTGCTCCAAAATTTCGTCTTGTTTATGCACGTGGGAAATCTGAAGCAGAAGTCGGCAAGCTTGGTCATCCAGAGGAGACTGCTCAACCAAAGCGTCCCCAGATAGAGTCAATGTTCTCTACTTTTCCAGCTTTGGTACCTATGCCCGTGGCTCCTCCAATAATTTCATCCGGAAAACCTTCAGTTCCTCTTCCTCTTGGACAGTCTAGCACGTTTTCACCAGCAGAATCCAGTTATCTTCCTGTTGGTTCTATTGCCCCTTCATCTAATCCAAAGGGAGAGAAAAATATGCATAGGGAAGAGCGGTATCATCAGTTGCAGATTTCATTGAAGAAATCGGATGAATCTGATCTAGACGAATACGTCCAGAGTAAGTCCTGGAGCTTCAAACTAAGATAATCTATTTAGCCACTGCTAAGCACTGATTTACCTTCTCTCTTCTTCTTTTTTGGCTGCAGTGCTCCAGTCAGTTTCCTCAGTTGAGCTTAGCAAGCATGCCATTTAGGTAGAAAAGAGATCAATTCAACTTTCACTGGAGGAAGGTAACGTGAATCTCTGTTTTCTGTACCTTTGTTTTCCTTTGAATGTGTGTGTGTGTGTTATAAGGTGGTCGAATACAACCTTCATAAACTGTAATATGGACATGGCTGGGGAGAGTCTGCATGTTTGAGTTGGGCTTAATGCGCACCATATGTAAATGAAAGTGGCCTGCATGGGCATTATACTGCATGAGGTGCACAGCACTATTCCAAATGGGACAATGAAGTCTTTCTAATGTTGGGGATCATTACATAGTTTATCAATTGAACTCATGCAACCCAATTGCCATTGTAATATCTTCACTAGGGTTTCGTTATGCATTTGTGACTTTGCCATCTTAAATTTTTACACTTCATTTGATTGCTGAGCAGACATCAGCAACTTTTACAGTTAGGTTGGACTGGCTGTTGTAGGATGGTGTGCTTTTTTTAGTTTTGACAAGTTTTCCGCACATCTGTATTTTATATTTGCCAGCCATGTCTTTTTTCACAGTGACTTACGTAAGTTGTAACAGTTGGTGCCATTGCCTATTTTGAGGTCCGTAACTGTTGCAATTCTACATTTTATTGGTACCTTTCAAACAGACATATTTGTTGCTAATTATGTTTGTGCATGCTTGATAAATTCTAGTCTCCAATATTTTGAGATTTCAGGAGGCTAATATATCTCTCTAATTCATTCCTAATTTTTACAGCAAAGGAGGTGCAACGAGTTGCGATTTTAAATTTCCTGGGGAAATCCTTGAAGAATTTTAAAGCACCCTCAGCTCATCAAAGCCAATCAGCGAAATAAGAGGATTTTTGAATACCTTGTTCTGTTATATTCTCTTGACTAAAGAAGGGTAAAAAAAGAAGAAAGAAAACCTGTCTGCGCTTATTTTGACTCGACTGCAGTGGCCGTCCTACTAGACTGCCAATATTCGCCATAATATTGCACTGGCTGCATCATCCATTCTTTAATCTCTAGTCTCAAAATCTTTTGACGTAACTGAATCCGAACCGTGTTGTAATATAATGCTAGTAATGTTCATTTTTATCCTTTTGTTTTTGTTCTCCCTTCTATCCCATGCTTCTAGCTAGTTTTGGATGTTATATTTGCGGCTCTATTGAAAAAAACAAGCATCCCTTTGCAAGGGATTAATACAAATTAGCGTTGAACAATTGAAAGAATCGATGCCCTTTTGTAGAAGTCATCACTATGTCCTGTAGTATCAATAGAAATTTGTGTGTTAACCATCTAGGTGGTGGCTAAGTGGTAAGGACTTGGGATCAAGGGGTTTGTTCCCTCTGTGGTCTCAGGTTCGAGTTCTTGGTTGCTCATATGATAGCTACGGGAGGCTTACATGGTTGTTAACTTCAGGGCCCGTGGGATTAGTCGTGGTGCGCGTAAGCTGGCCCGGACACGCATGTTAATCTAAAAAAAATAGAAATTTGTGTGTGTTAATGGCGAATTGCCCCACCTGCTTTATAAACCCATGTGGTTTCCAATACTATACTTCGTGATCGAAGTGGGTTCAGCTTGCCGAGTAGTGGGCTTCAAGCATTGCCCTCGTGTTCCCACACTCACCCTCCAAACATGAAACAGAAATCGCCTACTACCTCCTAATTAGCCTCCACTAATCTTAGTTGGATACAAGCTAAGATTTTTCAGAGAAATTTATTGGTATGTCTGTTGCTTAATTAATTAGCACAAAATCCTTTTTATGGCCACAACCACAATCTGAGATTATTGTGGATTAGGCAGTTAGATTAGTGCTAACAAATTAAGAGCCACCTTGTTTCAAGCACCTTGTGGATAACTACAAAACAAAAGCATAGAAACCGCCACTTTCTCAACTGCCTACAACTGCCATTACATCTACATAAGCAACCTCTTCTCCTTTGGTTACACTTCTTTTTCCTTGTCCTTTCGAAATTCAGTCTCCTTAACCTTAACTTGTCAAACAGGGATGACAAACCACAATACCGATCCCGACCCTGATTTCGGCCTTCCATCATCTTCTTCAATTCCTACCACATACTACAATCAAAATCCACGTAAAAAACGAACTAAGTTGATCAAGATTGAACCAAGTTTGCTCCCTTCCAGTACAATATCAAAGCCAAAATATTACAAAAAGCCTGACCCTTCTGCACCAAAGATCACAAGACCTTGTACTGAGTGTGGCAAGAAGTTTTGGTCATGGAAAGCACTCTTTGGTCACATGAGATGTCACCCTGAAAGACAGTGGCGTGGCATTAATCCACCTCCGAATTATCGCAGGCCTGTTTCGCCTATTCAACTGTTAAGTATTGTTAGTTCTACTAATTGGGAAGACGTGTTGACCGCAGAGGATCATGAGGTGGCTTCATGTTTGTTAATGTTGGCCAATAGTGACGGTGCAATAATGTTGGAGCGAAACGAGTTTGGTGGTGGGGTTGTTGCTGGTAGTTCTCATCAAGCTCAAGATCATGATCAAGTGAATTGTACTCGTGTCGGGTGTTCGAGTTGCAAGAAGGTTTTTGGGTCACACCTGGCACTAGGGGGTCATAGGGCCAGTCACAAGAACGTGGAGGGTTGTTTTGCTAGAAAGAGGAATGATGGTTGTGAGGTAGTTGAGGATCATAGCGGGAGTGGTGATCTGAAGGAGAATGTGGAAGATAATAGCAAGGCATTGATGGTGTTAGGGCACAAGTGCAGTATTTGCGCGAGGGTGTTTCCTAGTGGACAGGCACTGGGTGGACACAAGAGGTGCCATTGGGAGAAAGGGGAAGAAATCTCATCATCCATGAATCAAGGAGGACTTCATGTTCTTACAGAAAAGGAAGGTTGCGTGTTGGACCTCAATTTGCCAGCCCCAGTAGAAGATGAATCATCCTCTTTTTATTCCTCAGGTCTCACTTTGGACTTGAGATTGGGCCTCTGAAGGAAGACTGCATTCTTTTTCTTATAAGGGTTCTTTTACTAAAACTTGGTATGTGACTGATCTGTAACGTTAGCTTTAATTAGTACATAAACTAGTTTTCTGTATCATTGATGCTCCCGCGTCCCAAATTTGTTAAAGAGGCGGTATATGTATGCACTGACAAGTATGCAAAAACTCTTTGTTACGTACTGCCTATCAATAATCAGGACTGGTTTATGCTTGACGTAATATTACAGCCTACAAAAATTGGCTCCTTACCTCATATTCTTAGTTGCTCTACTCTTTCATTTTGATTATCAGCTTATAGATTATGTCAGCTTCAAAGTTAGAGAAATATGAACAAGGTTAGATTTGAATGTTTGAGCATAATCAGATTTATTATGGTTAATGGATTTCCAGATAAAATATATGAAAATGGTTCGGCTTTGGAGTTAGTAAAGGTCATGTCCGAGAAAGCAAGGGATTAAACTCATTGCTTCTGATGATAATAAGCTACATATAGACAAGTGGTCTTCCAGTTGATTCGTTGATCAGTAGCTTAAACACATCGGTACGCGGCAAGTGGATGTGGACACCATGGTATCTGTTGATTGCAAGTTTTAAGAAATGATTTTAGACCTGAACATTTAGCAGAAAGTGATGAATAAAGGGGAATGTAAGAAATGTGCAATCCAGGACTAGATTGAAGTAGAGGGATGGAAAGTAAGCAGAAGAACAAAGACAATAATAGAGTACTAAAGCAAGGTTGCAATATATATATAGTAATTATATTAAAGGGAAGAATGTGTAAAATCTTAAAAAAAAAAAAAACTGAAAAAGAATAAAAGCAAACTGTGAAAGTCAAATGGTAAATGAATCGGTTGACTCGTTTGTAGAAATTTCTTAATTAGTCAATTAATTGATTATATATGAAATTGTGTTACATAAATTTCAAAATCAGCAACAGTAATAATATCTCATAACTCTAGAATTTGCCAAATAAACCTAAAAAAAGATGGGATATGAAACCTTGGTTTAAGCTCTATCAAAAAGGACTAGATCAAAAAAAAATATCCTCACAAATACCTGATGAATCGGTAAATTAAATGAAAGATTCAGTTATTTCTTTCATACAAGATAAAGTAAATCAAGGCTTAAAGGACTAACCGAGCAAATAAATACGTAAATTTCTTTTGTTTTTTTAAAGTGCATGTATGCCAATTGAAGTAGCTGACACTATGTTAAAGAAGACCAACTCATAAGGGTCATGCTTATGGTAACACCTCAAACTATAACAGAAAAAGAATACTGAGAATAAATTAATGTTCATATGTTTCAACTTGCAATCTACAAAGGATACATATTGAAGAAAAAATAATTTGAAAAATATATAATCTATCTATGGTATTAAGACGGTCTATAGAGACAAGCTACATAATAAAAGGGTATCTTAGGATCAAACTTAAGAATCAGATAAGATAGTGCATAAAGAGTCTGTGAGTCTAAAATCTTTAAGAATCTTTCATGCCGAGTCAATGAAAAACCTCTTGAATGAATGACTATTCTAGATAGAGTTAAAAATAGTGTGGAGTTCCAGACTACATGATAGAAAAGCTCAAGTATCCCAACATCAACCTTAACATTCCAGGTCGCATGTAGATTAATTCTGAATATCAAATGGTTTTTCTAGTTTTGCCTTCTACCATATTGCACCTTTTAGCCCCAGTTTGAAATGATAATCATTTTTATAATGCAGCTTTTTAAAGAAGGCACCACAAACAGAATGATATCTTATTTTTTTATCTGATAGGAAAATAATGCTGGTTTGCAAGTGTTGTGCACAATGAGAAGAGGAAGGTAGGGTATCCTACGTCATGAATGCTGTAATCCAATCCAATCAGGAAACAGGAATCTATTTCTTACTAGAAATCCTTACAAAAATATATTGTCAAGTGATGCCCCCATTATTAGTTTCTTTTGAATTGATTAGTCCTGACATGTCTGTGAAGAAGCAAACTCTCTTGCAAGGAATCTACACAAGCTATTCCTCAACGGCCGCTTCTCAATTGGGTTGGTTATAGATTCTTGATGGTACAAGATTGACCAAAGAAGGACATCGTTACCATTGCAAACAAGTTATGCCTATGCAGGTGAGGTTTCAGGTCTTCTTTGTTGCCTCCAGGCTGTGGCACAAGCTGGCAAAACTTGCATGGCCAGTAGAGTTCAAGAGTCCTAGAAATAGGGTTAGTTCTATATCTATGAATCTTGATTGCAGTTATTCAGAAAACTAAAAACTGATTATTTCTGGTTGTGTTCCTGAACAGTTTTATTAGAGTTTATTCACCGAATCAGTTAAAATATTCGGAATTTCTAACGTCTTGTAGAGAATTAGACCTAGTTACTGGGGTCCTTAGCTTGCATCATTGATAAAAAGGCTGTCAATAAGCATTCCAGCTGAGTAAAATCTATCTAACAAGGACTGAATTCCAAGAGCAGATCAAGGATAATTGAAGTAAAACAACAAAAAAAAAAAAAAGAGAGGAAAGACTAAGAGACCCTAGAAGAGGAAAAAAAACAAGAAATCACATATCACCAGTGGCGGAGCCACAATGGGAATTAAGGGGGCAATTCCCCCTTAATTTTTTTTTAATTTTTTTTATAATAAAATTTTAACATAATAATTTAACAAGTTTTTTTTTTGAATTATTGTTCATACCACTCTTTTCTTCTATAATTTTTTTTTTAAATTCTAAACTATGAATTAATTAAGTAACCTTTTATACTTTATGCTTAATGATTTAGGTAAGTTTCTTTCTTTTTTTTTCATTGTTTAATTTTAGTTTTATTCTTTAATAATATGATAATTTATGGATTTACTAAATTAATATGTATATGTATAATATTATATGTATATGAATATGAATTGAAATGAGTTTTAATGAATTAATATGTATTTTGTTATGAATTTCATATGAAAAATGATAATAATCAATGTATTAGTAATTAAAAATGAAGTACTGAATAACTACAAAAATTAAAGATATAATAAAAAAATAAAAAAATAAATTAATATTTATATTTAACCCACTTATGTAAAACAATAAATTAATAAAGAATTGTTGCTAATAATTTCACTAATCCTTAAAAAATTTAGAAATAGATGAATGAAAGTTTCATTGTATATATTGAGAAAAAATATCTTTAATAAAATTAATAATAAAGTCATTATTAAGTAATTTTAAAATATAAAAACTAGAAAAAAATAATTATAATGTAATTTTTTTTATTTTAAAAATATTTTTAAATTAATTTTGCTTGACATATTAATTTTACTTGACATGAGTTAATATATGCATTTTAAATTAATTTTTTTATATATAATACATGTTTATATAATACATATTATTAAATATTTATAATTTATCCTTTTATTTAAAATTTTCTAGCTCTGTTACTGCATATCATCATAAGGCTGCTACTTGTCTGAAAATCAAATCTAGATGACCACAATAGCTCGAAGGTATATATGAGATTTTCCCTATATTTTATCTTAGATTTCTTAATGTTTGTAATTATTAATTTCCCTCATGCATGTTGATGTATGTCTTAATGGTTTCTCCAAGAAAATGAAATATTAAACAGGCACCCTAAACAAGAACACCACAAGTCTTGACTCATGAGGTTTCCACCCGCTCAGGACCATTAACCTTAAACTACTATTTAACTTTGTAATTATTTATAATCAGTAGTTAAATGCGGCAAATCAATCGGGCGTGAATAAAAAACAACTCATGGCCCCTAAATCTGGAGTGGAGAGGCATAACATTAATAAATGATCCTTCCATTTTATTATTTTTGTGTTTGCCGAACGTAGCTCCTCGTAGCAGCTGTGATTTTAAAAAAATAAATTTAAAAAAAACTATAAATTTAACTATAGTTTTTTTAAACTAACTAAAATTTTAAGAGAGAATTTTCAGTAAATCTATGCTAAACTATAATATATCTAAATATTTTTAAATTTATAATTAAGATAAGAATAAATAACACCACACCGTAATACAAAAATAAACTGGAAATCTTACATTGAAAGAACTCGGTCTTTTATCAGTTGATTTAAATAATAATTTACTTTAATAAGCATCGCTTCATTTTCTTATATTTTAAATATTAATTTAAAGGCTTCATCTTCCTCTCCCTTTCTCTGTGATAGGTCCCAATTAAAGTTGTTGATTATAATAACAGAGTATTTTCTGTGGGTGAGAATTAAACCATAGATGAAGATGGAAATCTTTGCTTGCCTTCTGTTAATGCATCTGGCTGTTGTATACACACACAAATGCTAACAGCCTTCCTAACTTTAAACAAGAATAAATGACTGATACTAACTAATAAAATTAAACAAATTTGTCCTATTCTGAAGCAAGTAATTGTTGGAGCTGATCCATGTTTAACAGCAACACATGCCCACGTAGCTAGCTTTAGCCTTAATGCCCACGTTGCTTCATCCTGAAGCAGGTTACCTTGTATGGAGCTTAATTGCTTGCCTTCTCTGCATGAATGTGAACGTGGCTTGTTATCAATACCCCTCTCTTTCGCTGGATCCTTGTCCTTAAGGTCCTTGAATTTCTCCCGCATCTTATAAGCATTCTGGAAATAATGCATGCTGTCCTTCATCCGTAACAGGTCGAAATGTGGAACTCGGTGCTCAAGATTCACCAATTTTATTTTTGGGCGAAGAAACGTGAAAAATAGGATGAATACGTGACCCTTCTAGCAGCTTGAGAGGATAAGCTACTTTGCCGATTCGCCTCTCAATCAAATAAGGGCTTCTGAAATGCACGTTTGAACACTGTTTGTTGCTGATGAGGATGTAATTTTAAATAAATTAAATCCCCTTCCTGAAATCGATATCACATCATTTGGAGTCAGCAATCAATTCGATTACATGAGGCATGCAAGTTCTGCTTTAACTGCTACTCTAAAAAGGATATGCAGGCTACACGGCATCACACGATGGCCATCTCGAAAGATCAAGAAGGTTGACCATTCCTTAAGAAAACTCCAGCAGGTAGTTGACACAGTCCAAGGTGCTAAGGGTTCCATTCAGATTGAATCTTTCTATTCAGCCTTCCCAGAACTAAGCTC